TTAATACTCTTTTATTAAACGAACCTGATCTTAACGAAATAAATAAAATATCTCAGAAAAATAACATAACCTCGTTATCCATTGAGGAGACGCTGGAATTTGTTGATGTGTCTGTCTTACATAATAAAACAACTATAATTTACTTAATAAAAATACCTGAACTCGAACCAACTAATTATGAAAATCTTCTTTTAAAGCCTGTTATCAGAAACCAACTACATTGCAATGTAAAGCTAGGTCTACCCCATGATTGTAAAACTTCAAACTATTTCAAAATTTGTAAAAAAAGAAAAATTGTTAATTTAAGTAATTCAAAATGTATTTCAAAATTAGCTCAGGGAAAGGAATCGCTGTGTGATTATAGTAACTCGGACCACATTGAACCAATAGAGGAAATAGACGATGGCATACTACTCTTAAATGACTTCAACGGCAGCCTAAATTCAAACAATATTTCACATCAACTCAGAGGAACTTTTATGATTACATTTTTAAACGAAACTATAAATATAAATGGGAAAAATTTTACAAACAAAGAAAAAATAATTATGAAACCCGAAATCCCACTAATTCAAATTACCCCACTGCAAGCACAACGCATACAAATTCTGTGATTAGAAGCATTGGAAGCTCTACATATAAAAATAAACCGAATAACCACAGTTACACTAATTTGCGCCATTGTTCTTACTTTGATCATTGTAAACTGTGTCCACAGAAAAGGAAAAGTAATCCTACATGTCCAAGAACCAACACCACAAGTTTTAAACAACAAAACTAATACTATATCAATTCCTAAAAGAATAATTCCAGAATTTAATAATATTCCTTATTTCTAACACCTCTTGAGGACAAGAGGGTTTTTAAGGAGGGAGAGTTAATCACAGAAATATTTCTTCACTTTTTCCGAGAAATATTGCAACATTGCAACATTTCAATACAACGGTCAAGAACCCGCAAGTTCAATAACATAAACACACGCACCCGGTTAGTAGCCACAGCGCAATATCAGAATTCTGATTCTGCAAACCTTGCAGTTTCAGCCACTTCATCAGAGCTAGGCCACCGCCGCGGTCTCTTCCGCGACGTCGACGTCGCTGCCCCAACCCACAGCTTAGATCAGGGTATTTTGAAATGAATAAAGTCAGTCTCAAATTGAACTTCAAAGAAATAAAACGTTCAAAACTTATTTTTTGGGTTTAAATTATCCTGGAAATTAACTTATATACTTTATGGGGCGGAAACGTCTCCTTTTCTGCGTTACAAACTTTAAATCATTATACCCCCTGCAAGGGTATAAAAAATAAATGCATAACATAAATACTTACAAATTATTTATAGTTTGGTTGCGGTGTACGCCCAAGAGTACACTCTACATATTGTATAAGAAAGTGTTTATAAAATACTTTTTATTCGTGTTATTTTTCTTATTTACCTACTTGAATTTCAACAGCAACGATTTAATAGATTTGTTTGAATTGCTGAAAATAAAATGTAAGTGGAGAGCAACGCAAATCAAAAATTAAAAGAAGAAATTATTTATTTTTAATTAAACATGCGATAAATTAGGGGGAAAACTGGATTGTTTAGGGGGAAATATGAGTTCTGCGGGATTATTTAGGGGGAAAGATGGGTTTTCATCTGGCAACACTGGTAGGGACGGCTGTACATGTATTGAACATGCGTACCAGGAGCCTGTGCATCGGAGACTACAATATATAACTGCAGAATTAAAAATCTGTTGCGATGGTCCGATAGTAACAAGCAATACAGCAATAGAAATGTATCGCTAAAAGATAAAAAAAAACAATTTTTTTAGTTCTGGAGAAAGGGTGGTGAAAGTGGCATTCTAAAAATTTTTTTATTTCACTTTTTTAGAACAGTAAAAATGTTGCTGAAAACACTCGTCGAAGGACACCCAATTTGAATGGATCCGATGCTCCATTCAAAAGTGATTCAAAAAATAAAATATTTCGGTGTCTGTTTGCCAAATTCTGGAACAATTTTGTGCTGAGCAGGGCGTGCTGAGCAGGGCGTTACAAAAAATGTTTGCTCTACGGCTTTTTGAAAAGTAGCTTATTAAGCGGGGCATCGCTAAAAAAAGCAAAACTTTTCACGGTTATAATAACAGTTTTGCACGGCTAATATATACAAAAGATTATTTGATTTTATTTTATTTATTCTCCTTTTTTGCAAATTTAATATTATTTGTTAGAACCGCTTTTACGTATATAGCCCATGAGTTTTTTTAACTTTTATACAACAACAACAAGTTTCTTATACAACAAGTTTCTTTGCACGAATATTTTCGTGCAAGCGCATGCAAGCAGTGGCCTACCAGTTACCAGTTACGCGGCGAATTCGCCCGTAGTAACGGTAGTGCGGTGAGAGAGAGTGGTGCACTCAGCACCAGACAAGGGCAGGGAGAGTCCGAGAGGGACAGCAAAAGAAGAGAGCGGCGAAGGGCCGTGTGCTGAAGGAAGTAACGGGACGGCACTGGACTTTGAACCCTGAAATTGGTGCCGTACGCAGAGGGCGAAAGGTCGAACCGTAAAACCGTGGACTTTTGACCAGGAGGCAAGGAGACGCCGATAACTAGCGGTAAATGGAGGCCTATATAAACCGGCCGAGCGCAGGAAGCTGGATCAGTCGATTTCTACCAAGTCAACATGTAACAGTCATCAAGTGAACCAGTAACCAGTGAAACAACGTGAAGGAGCAAGTAAAGCCGTGCGGAGTTGTTACGGACCTGGTTCTTCGATGGGGCAAGGCCGGCTAGCCAGTCCATCTCGTGGTGGGGTTCTTCCCAGCCCTCAGTCCGCACAATAGCCCAGCTGATCGGCCATCTCAGTCCGACGACATCAATAAAATCAAATGTAAACAAAACGAAATGCAAACAAAATAGGATAAATAATGATAAACATTGGACGTTACTGGAAACTTTACTTGCACCGAACAATTTGGAGTTTAGGTGATGTACTCCGACACCCCCCACCCTGCCTGAGATCCGGCATGCATCCTTCGCCAAATCTCCCTTCCGATGGCTATCATCAGCCTACTCCAGGGTCAGTCTCATTTCCCCCTCCCCATAGACGAACACTTAGCACAACATCCTCACGTTACAATTTTATTATTAACCATAAACATTCATCTTAAATTTTTGCTTTATATCTCCTGTTAACCTAACGCATATATTTGCATCCCCTTGCTACAGCTGCGATGTCAAATTCATACGGCAACACTTCCTTTGAAATTGATTTAAATTTTTAATTACACCTTTGTTGACCCATATACGAATATATAAATATTGATCAATTCATGATTATTCATTTAAATTACCCTACCTATTTGGAGCTCCAACCAGGGGTTTAATATTGAGATCATTTTTATCTCGGGGTTTCTAAACTTATTAATGTGAGACTTTTCCTCTTTCTACATTCGCATATAGTTGTGTAGGTTATTTACTTTACTTGCTAATTTACATCCCAACTGCTGCGAGACCTCCGCAAATTTACATATATAATTTTATGCAAATGTATATTCTTTTCCTTGTTTCACGAAATTCTGATTATATCAAATTCTTTTTACTTACAAATACTATTTAAATTATTTAGGACATGTGTTAATAAACAATATATGATGTATGTATGTGGGATATATATATAAGTTTAGTGGTGCATAAATAATTCAATAAATTAACATATAAACTTAGATTAAGGTGGACGAACGACTTTCATTTAAATTATTGGGACGAAATTTTAACTAATATTAAGGGGGAATGTTTTATTTAATTTACTTAAAAACTATTTTAAGTCTTTCATCAATGCTGAGTTCATATTTTAACTTTTGTAGAGCAATATTGTTTTATAGTCGACAAGAAAAATTTCAACGAAAACAAATCCCGTGCCAGTGTGGTGCGGCTAAATCAAAAGGTTTTGGGTATGTATATGGCTAAAGGAATAATTCTTCCTGTCGTGGTCTGGCCCGGAGCCGGTTGCACGTGGTCCAGATATCGTATAATTTATTTTATTTCTTTTATTTATTTATTTGTTTACTTCGCCAACGGTGACCTTAACCGGAAAATTTTAAATTTACTTTCCCTTTTTTTTTTTTTTATATTAAATTGTTTCTTTGGAACGGACTTACTTCTTCGTTGACGGTGCCTTCTTTACCCGGTCCCGGTTGCCTGTCCTATTTCCTCGGCCAAACTCGTCCCGTTTCCTTTTCTGAAGATGTACGTTATATTATCATGATACTACACTTTAGAATGATGGCCACTACCCCATCATCTAACTCACTTTTAATATTATATATATTATTTTCACTTCAAATTTCCCGAACCACTTGCTGCTGTAAGAATTTTTCGGAACTCATGGTGGCCTGATCCCTTTCAGCCCTATTTATACCCTCTGCCCAGCACCAGCATCACCCGATTTTTTCCCTGATCCCTTTCTCGGGTTTTCGCCAACGGCAGAGACCTCTTCCATTTGCATCACGTAGCCGCTCGGCTCTCATTCAGCTATCGGTGTGGGTGCAGTTCCTCATGGTTTGGTGTGGGTGGAGATACTTCTGGGCCAGGGGAGGTGGTGGAATCTAAGAGCGGATTAAGGTTCTCTTTTCTGACCGTCAACCAGAGCGCCTCTTACTCTCCACACTTCCCCTCTGTTTCTTGGCCCTGGTAACCTTTGAAAAACTGGTCACACTACCATCTCTTAGGGCGATATTCCCCTGTCGATAGCTTTCAATTGCAACACCACACAAAAATTCGCGAGAATGCTGGCCGAAGCGAATTATTTGTAAACATTGAAAGATTGACTTGCCGTGAAATTGTGTTTATAGTGTTTTTAATAATCAAAACAACAACTTTGCTATCCTGCCTTGCCCCCCGATTCGCCTTTTGTGCCCAACGTAGGCCTACACCCACTAGACTCTTGTTTTGCTACCCAGGTATATATGTAAGTATGCGTGTGTACGGGTACAGCTACATCCACTATTTATATTTACATTTTTAGGTCTTTTGCGTGGAAAATCCCAACAGGCTTCCCCCCCAGATCCTCCAATTCGTAGGCATTGTTCCCTATAGGGCGTATGACTCGGCATTTCACATATTTTCGAGCAAACTTGGCATTGTACATCTTTCCAAAATCACTCTGAGTGAAATTGCGTCTGTAGATTTCTTGGCCAGGCTTGGCATGGAAAACTCGCGCCCGTTTGTTATAGCGCTGACTGCTGCGTTCATATGCCTGATGGAGATTCTCCCGAATGTGATCGCGGATAAGTTGGCGCTTATCTACTGGATCCAGCGTCGTTATTTGATGTTCTGTCAAAGACTGCAGTTTTCTTGCCAGTTTGTAGCAGTTTCCATTTAGGAACATCTGTTGTCCAAATACTGCAAAGAACGGTGTTACACCCGTGGCCTCATGCCACGGTAAGTATAGGTCCCAGTCTCGATGATCATTTTCTAAATACGTTCTAATTGCAGCTAGAATGGTCCGATTTACCCTCTCGGCTGCGTTGCTCTGTGGTGAATATACAGCGGTACGCATGTGTTGAATGCCGAATGCAGTGATCATGTCTTGGAATATTTTCGACACGAACTGTTTCCCATTGTCGGAGTGAATTACCTCAGGTACGCCAAATTTGTAAAACACCTCGTGTACCAGGAATTCGACCACTTTCCCAACACTCGCCTCCTTCATCGCTTTTAAAAAGGTAAATTTCGAAAAATGATCTACAACAACAAATATATATGCTTGTCCCTTTTTGGACCTGGGATACTTTCCAAGAAAATCTATATAGATCTTCTGAAACGGCCGTTCCGTGACTACTTCTTGACCAATTCCGACTTGACAACGATAATTTGGTGGTTTTGATTCCTTGCATTTGGTGCAATTCCGGACATACTCCCGCACTTGTGTCGTCATAGCCGGCCAGTAGAAATGACGTTTCAGACGATGAAGTGTCTTTTTCATCCCCCGTGTGCAGCTTTGTGATCCTCGTGCGCGTTCGCTATTAGTGTAGATGTTATTCCTGCCGGGATCCACAGCTTCCAAATTGAGCCTTCTACTTGGTCGTCAAGATGTTCGAATGTCGTTCTTTTGAAGACTAATCCTCCATCTACGCGTAAATCAGGCAATGTTGCTATATTTCGACTAATTTCTTCTCTTAATTCTTGGTATTCCGCGGACTCGAATTCTGTCGTCTGAAACCCAATGGCATCAGATAAATCGAAACTCAGCTCTGCTATGCAGCGTGACAGGGTGTCAGCAACCACGTTTTCAGTTCCCTTGCGATGCTCAACTTTAAAGTTGAAACTCTGAAGCCTTAAAGACCACCTTGCCAAACGCCCGTTTAGATCCTTGAGGGACATTAGCCACTTTAGGCTTGCGTGGTCCGTGATCACAGTAAACGGCATCAGCTCCACGTAAGGCCTAAACTTTTCAACTGCTAATACCGCTCCCAGACATTCTTTTTCAGTGACGGAATACAAAATCTGATGTTTATTCAGTTTGGAAGAGAAGAAAGCTACGGGACGTTCTGAATTTTCGTCGTCCAACTGGAACAATACTGCTCCCACTCCATAGTTAGAGGCGTCGCATTGGATAAAGAATGGACGTTTAAAATCAGCATGGACTAATACTGGGGCTGTAGTTAGCGCCATCTTTAAGTGCTTTATGGCCTCGACAGCCTCCGGAGACAAGGAAAACTTGCCCCTTGGATGTTTCTTGAGGGCGTCAGTTAGCGGTGCTGCAATGGATGCAAAGTTTTTTATGAATCGTCTGTACCACCCTGCTGTACCTAGGAAGCTTCGTAACTCCTTTACGTTCTTCGGATCAGGAATCTTCTGTATAGCCAAGACTCTTTCTGGATCCATTTGCAGCTTTCCACCCCCAATGATAAACCCAAGGTATTTTAAAGATTTCAAACAAAATTTAGACTTCTTTAACCCTATCGTCAAATTTGCCCGTTTCAGGCATTGTGCTACCAAACGAAGATATCGCAGATGCGTCTGGAAGTCAGGAGCTATCACCAGAAGATCGTCCAGATAGACAAATACGTTTGATCGTAGTTGTGTCGGAATGACTTGGTCCATCAATCGACATAATCTTTGGGCCGCATTGCAGAGGCCGAAAGGCATCATCACGAATTGGTAAAGTGGTCGTCCGGCTACTGTGAAAGCGGTATACTTCCGGCTTTCCGGTTCCAATTTTATTTGCCAGAACGCAAATTTAAGATCGACGCTAGATATATAATATGTCTGGTCGATCCTAGACAATATGCCTTCGATACTCGGGAGAGGGTAGGCGTCCTTTACGGTGAGCTGGTTAAGTTTCCGCGCGTCTAAGCAGAATCTGTTTTTATCTGGCTTTCGCACGACCGTTGTTCTATTGCTCCACGGGCTGTCACTAACCTCTATAACCCCTAGCTCTAGCATTTTGTCTACTTCTTTTCAGACCACTTCCTGCATCGCTGGTGATAGCGGGTAACAACGATCCTTAAACGGTACTGCGCCCTCCACCAGCTGGATCTGGTGCTGTTCTGCTGCAGTCGTTCCTAGCCCGGCTTCTTCGTAAGTCAAAAATTCCTTCTTCACGTTCTCCAACTCCTCAGCTTCATTCATTCCCAGGTCCCAAGCTTCTACCTCCGTTTCTTGTCTTCTATCTTCCGCATAGTGGCTGATCTGGGACATCTTGACTTCAGCTACTTGAGCTTGACTGGATTCGCTGTTTTCGTCGCCTAGAACTGCTGGAGCCAACTCAAAAGATCTCCAGAAATCGATCCCCAAGTACATCGATTGTTCCAGGTACGGGCATATGTAGAAGAGAATGTCCTTTACAATCCCCTTATATCCAACAGGAAGCTTTATTTTTCCGATTATGGATCTGTCTTCACCGGCAGCTGTTTTAACGACGGACACATATCTGTCCATCTCTACCCCGAGTTTGGCCATCAGCTCTCTACTGTCTTTGCCCAGTAGACTTACGGAGGCTCCTGTATCCAGCAGTCCCGCAATCTTCCGGCCGTGTATGGTCACCTCAGCGAAAACCCTTGGATCCGTTCTCGTTCCACGTTGGATTGCTTCAGCCACCTCCTGGCGCGTTTGTCGCCTCTTCTGAAAGCGGGAACGGGTCTTTAGAAGCCTGCGGCTGACTCCCCACATACCTTCAAGCTGTCTGGCGTCAAAAATCCTGTTTCGTACTTCAATATATCTTTTTATTCTTTCTTCTGCTGGTAGAAATCTTAATTTATTAATCCCTAATCTATTTTGTTTATTAATAATATACTGATAATTTTCTTCTTCCTTATCATCTACTTCCACGCAGGTTTCTGGCCCAAGCGTTGCTCGCCTCCTTTCGTCACGCTTGGTCGGCCGTTTCCCGAACAATTCGGACATGTCGGAGTAAAATGTTCCGGTTTCCCGCAGCGGTAGCAAAAGATTCTGCGTTCCTTGGCCAGACAATCGCGGAACCCGTGATCAAACTGTCCGCAGTTCCAACAACATATCCTCTGCTTGGTCAACAGGTGAGCCTCCTCTATAATCACCTCTTCTTCCTCGTCCTGTGATTCCGGTTCCGGTATGATTTCATCGACTCTCTTTCCAGAGGACGAAAACTTCTGCGACGGGCGGTATGCTGGCCTGGGCTTTCGTCTGACAAAAGTGTCTTCCACTTCCAAGCATTCCTCGCGAAGCTGCTCCACGCTTCGTACCCTGACTGCGTAAACATACCGAGCGATATCCTCAGCGAGTCCTTTCTTAATCACCCGGATCATTTCGGACTCCGACATGGGTTGGGTAAGTCTGGTCGATAATCGTCGCATGGCTCCGAAATAATCCTCGACTGATTCCCCAGGTCTTTGTCGCCGTTCATGGAGAGCGCGTAGCCGCTCAAACTCACCACCGACGCCTCGAAACCTGGCCACAATTTCGTCCTTTAGATCTTCCCAAACCTCGGGCGGTCGCTCACGAACAAATTGCCAATACCACTCGGCCGCTTTGCCCCTGACCAGGTGATGAAAACTGTCGAGGACCTCATCCCAGGAACACCGACTTTGCCTTCGAAGAAACTCGACCCGGAAAACAAAATCTTCCACCATCATTTTGTTTGGGTCTCCATCGAAGTATATCTCCCACTTTTCAACTCGTCCCCACCTTGTAAATCTACCCTCGACCTCCCTTTCCGCTTGCTGACGCAAGGCTCGTCCATCCTCGAACCTAGGAGATCTCTGGATGGGTTCGTTCTGCGCGGAATACTGTTTTGCATCTAGGGATTGCGGACGTTGTGTATGCGGCGAAGCTGGAGGTACGCCTGTGGAATATTTTGGCTTAGTTCCAGTGCTCTTCCTGTCCTTCTCGTCCTGCCTGCTGCTATGCCTGCTATCACTTCCGTCCTTCGCTACTTCTTGCATCTGTAGCAACTCTACTTGCTGCTTCAATGGTCCCATTGCCTCGGTAACGGCAATCATCATTTCCATAAACCCGCGCCGGATCTCCTCTTGCAAAGATCGGCTTATGGACTCCATCATTCCTCCTCGTTGCGTCTCCTGAGCCTGGGCTAAGGCCACATTGACAGCCGATGTTATTTCCGATTGCAGGACCTTCGATGCTATTGGCAAATTCCAGCTGTCATCGTCTCCTTCTTGATGCTCCTTCCGAGGATTCCCTGGCGGAGGAGTCCTGTCTACCATTTTCCCCTTTGACCTTAAAAAATACTTGCTCATCAACTTTTCCTAATCTATCTTTACTTAGATGTTTTACTAATATTTATCTTTTACTTTTTTTTATAGTTTTGAACCGGCTGCGCATCCACAACACACAATGACAACTCAAACAAAATTTCACAACTACCACAAGGAGGGAAAAACTCAACATTCACCGGAGCCAACTTCACCCCGGATTTCAGTGTCTTCAATTTCCAGCACAAGTTTCTCGGTGAGCGCTGTTGACCATCCCATCTTCCCCAGAAGACTAGGTGTCAAGGGCGCTCGCCATTCTATTATCTAAACTTCTCCTTACTTACATCACTAAATGATTGTTCTAGGAGTGAAGAGCCGCCATGAATGCAACGCGTGGCCGACTTCTCTGGTCCCCACGGGCCACTCACAGTCGATATTCCACATCCTGACCTCATCACGGGTAAGTAAGGGAAGTTTTCCCTATTTGGACTATTTCTGATTCCGGTTATTATTCTGCTTTATTTTCCAGGCGCTCGAGTAGCACACCAGGCATCGGGATAGTCGCTAACTAGCCGAAGAATTATTTCCTGCTAGTGCCGAACCACCCTTACCGAGCACCCTCTTCCGTTCGTCAGATACGTACCAATCTCTTTCAACAAAAAAAATTTACATTTACTTTGGGGTATCTTTGCTTCCAGATCCCCCGGCACCGCGCTACTCTGAACCGACCATCAGGTCCTTCATAGGCCATCGGTCACCGAGGTACCCAAATCACCAAGTCCCTTCCGAGATCCTACCTCTCGGCTGGTTATTTATAATTCCTACCGATGTGCAATTCGCATCCTTTCCAACCTTTCGGATGACAGGATCAGCGAATCCACTCCTGCCTTTAAATTGGGCGCCATCTATTTTTACGGACCTGGTTCTTCGATGGGGCAAGGCCGGCTAGCCAGTCCATCTCGTGGTGGGGTTCTTCCCAGCCCTCAGTCCGCACAATAGCCCAGCTGATCGGCCATCTCAGTCC